CAGTCCAGTGGAGCCTGAGTGGTGGGTGTTGCCTTCTGACACACTTCCGGTGATGTCAGGGGGTGTGGCATATGCAAATAAGTGATGCTAATGAGCTCCTGCACCTCTTTTTCTACGAAATGACCTGTGTGTGTGTGTGTATCAGGTATGCAATTGTTGCTTGCTTGTTGAAATGGCTTCAGCAACCTTCCCTCCAGAAAACACTCCCCCCCAACATATCATATTTTCCCAGAATTCAGGAAAATGTGATTCTTGTATCTGATTTTGTATCTGATTGTGAAATGTGCTGTGAGAATGTAATACAAGATTTTCCCCATGCCATCATGGATGATGAACAACACATCTCTTCCCTGGTTCTCCTCCTCACTGGCCCTCCATTCCATGAATTGCCTTGTAAAACTCTAAAGAGAAAGATAAGGCATTTAGAAAAGAGTCTTCAAAATGCATTTTGGAAACCAATTATGCATGATCCAGAGGCAGTGTAAATTTGATTGCTGGATGCAAACAGAGCACAATGATTTTCATGCTTTCCTGTGAGCTTCCCATGGCATAAAGCCAAATTCTGTTGGAGGCAGGACTAGATGGACTCTTATTCTAATTCAGGAAGAGCTAGTTCCTGTACAAGATTTCCTTAGCATTCCATTCCATTCTAGGGATCATACATACACACTATGTGAACTCTGCAGATCCCTTTTGTATCACTGTGACTAAGAGCTTGAATCTGTCTTGGGCCCTGTTCTGTATCTCATATAATATAATCTGCCCACTAGATTATCACACCACTTGCAACTGCCAGGAGAGACAGACTGAAGCTATGTGCAGTGAGAGGAAGATTCCTTATTGGACCCACTCAATCTCCAGATCAATGTGCTGTGAAAAATTAAATAAAGGGACTGAGGCATCTTTTACATCAGGTTGTCCCTATAATAAAGATCTTCAGAAAGTATGAATTAGAGCAGAGATGTCGAACTCATTTGTTACGAGGGCCAAATCTGACATAAATATCACTTTGTTGGGCTGGGCCAACAGTGCTATAAAATGTAACATGAGGCACCAGAGACATAACCTTTATAAAGGTGATTTCAGATTTTGAATGGCAATAGCAGGCGAATGACAATAGCAGGGTTGATTGGATTAGGTGTGATATGCAGATGGGTATTAGGCATGGGGATACAAGTGTTGGTAATGAGATGGGAAGCCTAGGTCTCAATTCCATCCAAGAGAATTCGGTCCAGGAAGATGCAAAGAATAAATGGACATAAGTCTAACATTAGAAACCACAACATTCAGTTGCTGACCTAAGAGTAGCAGCACTCTTGACAAAGGAATTTCAAATTAAGATCTGGTTTTTCTGTCTCATTACCAATGTGTGCTATTATCGTTTGGCATCTGAAATCACACCAATCCACATGTTCTAATTCATAATCAGGGTCTTTTTGAAAGAAAATAAATCCAGATAGCAACAGAGAAATCCAATCTTTTTTAAAAAACCTTACTTTCCAGAATAAGCCAAAATAATTTCCTCCATTTACATTGTCCTTGTCAGAAGAATCCACCCTCCCACCCACCCAAGAAGTGTGCTTGCACACAAAAAACTTATACCTGGAATAAAATGTTGTTGATCTTAAAGCTGCCGTGGGACTCCAATTTCCTCTCTTTTTCCTCCTTCTCCCCAAAAGAGGAGGAGCAGCCCCAGAGAAGGAAGCAGAAGCGTGTGTGTGTGAGGGGGGGAGGGAGGCTTGTTTTTGTATCTCTCCAACATGAAGCAGCCATGACTCTCTGTGTGTGTGTGTGAGGGGGGGGGGAGACAAGAGGCAAGAAGCAGGAAGCAAAGAGCCACTGAGGGAGCTGGGGGAAAAGCATGCTAAGGTGCAGCAGCAGCCCTGGAAAGGGAAGCAGGAGAAGGAAGTGCTTGAGGGCCAGTTCTGAACCCTGCACGGGCTGAATTTGGCCCACGGGCCACATGTTTGACACCCCTGAATTAGAGGGTGCCAAATGAAATTAGTGCAAAGCGGGTATAAAAATTAGCTATTTGTTTATTTATTGAACAGAGTACAAGACTGATGTGAGGAAGTCTCATTTTACCCAGAATAGAAATGGATGAGGCTTTACCATCAGAGTTCAGAAAGAAATGGCAACAGCTATAGGAGAGGATTTCAGTAGAACTGCTGTAAAATATTATTTCCAGTGACTAGGAATGAATACCAGGTTAATGTACTACATAAGATTAGCAGCCCTTTCTTGAATCAATGATCCATTCAGCCCGGTATCCTGCCTCTGACACTATGGAATGCTTTAACATAGAATAGTCCATTATTTATGCCAGTATTAGATAATTTAGGCAGCAATCAGGAAACTGAACATTTTAGAATTATTTGCTGACACATTTCTATACGGCTGCATTTTAAAGTCTATTCTATATTTAAAGACTGTATTACGGATTTTATTCTCAAATGCATCCTGAAATGTATCTCTAGTGATATTATGATACTCTTCCTCCTGGTATCGTTAGGGAAAGCAGCACAGATAAATCAATTGCCTTTCGATTGTCCCATTTTATGATGGAAGCATCACTTTAAACTTTTCTATATTTTTTTTCTGGAGACATTTTATTTACTTTCATTCTTTGAAATATTCTTAAAGTAGCTTATGGGGGCATTGTGGGCTTGTTGGATTTGAATTTTGGTAGGATTATTTTTTTAAAAAAATAGAAACTTCTACCATTTCAAAGTTAGGATAAACTTGGTTTTGAAAATTGATGCTGATATGAAATGGTATACTTAATGGCAGATGAATCTATAGAAAGCTGTTAAGATGCAGATTATTCCCCGGGGGAGAAGGTAGAGGGTGGGGGGGGGGGGACAGGAGGAGAGATCAGAACTGCCAATCTATAAAATATACTGCTTGGAAGGGAAGGCAGGGAACCTTTCTCTGCAAAACGCCATGATTGCAGGGGGCAGTGTAGCAGCATGTGGCAGCCTAAACCTAAGAGCAGACAAATCAGCTTGATGACTTTCAAAGCCAAGAATAATGCTGGAGGCAAGGGTATCAGATCTAGGGAGGGGGGAAATTAAAACATATAGACGCTGTTATTAATTTCACATCTATTTTTGTGTCGTCAAATCTGTATGCAAATCCAAAGCATCTCATTTTGGCAGATGAATCTTTAAAAATGAGGCGCAGGATGCAAAAGGAATGTAATTATTTTAGGGCAATGTTTTAGTTTATTGGGCCAAACGGCTTATTGGGCCCAATCTACCAGAAACATTTCTTGCAAAATCATAGTTTGAGTTTGCAGAAGACATGTATTGCACAGGTTTTCTTTTCTCATTTGTGGGTTGTGCTCTGTCTGATAGAGCAAAAGGATATAATTTTGCTCAATATATGCAGTGCACACTTCCTTCGCCACCAGTATTGTCTCCTGGACTGGCTTCTCTGACTCCTGGATCCTACTTTCACTGATTCCTCATCCCCCTTGTACCTCTTCTTTCTTTCTTGTTTTTTTGGTCAATATTTTTTGTGTGTGTCTGTGTGCCTGGAAGTCATGGTAGACTCCTGGCAACCTCCAGTGGGGCTTGGATGTTTCAGAGAGGTGGCATGCTATTGCCTGCCTCTGTGTCCCCAGCCCTGGTATTCCTTGGAGGTCTCCCACCCAAGTACTTGCCAGGGTCGGCCCTGCTTAGCTTCCAGGATCTGATGAGACTGGGCTTGCCTGGGCTATCCAGGTCAGGGTGCACCCTTTCTTCTTTCGAGAAGTTTGTCATGGTCAAAGAGAACCTCAAAAATAAATCCAGAGGCAAAGTCTTATGCAAACCATTACACACCTCCTCCACCAACGTTGAACTGAAATTGCCCCTATGCAAGGATCGCCTTCCCCTCCGCAAAACCTAGACTTAAAAAAATCCTTTTGTCTTCCTATGATACAACCACTACACAGCCCACTGTTGCTAATCCTGTAATGATAATTATTTTGTAAGCAGAGTTTGCATCCTGAGAGTGCTGCCTGTGAGGATCAAGAAAGTAGGGAAAGCTTGTATGCACCTGCGACTTCTGCACCTGCTTTGAAACAACCTTTGAATAGCCACGCACTCCCTCCCTTTCACAATCATTCCTTCCTCCCTATATCTTGGTCCTTGCTTAATAATAGATCAAGAAATCTTTCTCTTTTTAGAGACTCCTCACTTTTGCTCCTTCATCTCTTTCCCCTTGCATACTAACAATTTCTGATAAAAGTACAAAGCTGCTCCTCCTCCTTGGAGCCTGCCATGACTGTATCCCTCCTTTGCCCAGCAGGGTGGTCATTTCTTTCCCCCCCTTTCACTGTTTGGAATGCTGTTGTAGTCCCTCAAGCAGTGCTGTGTACTGGGAAATGGTATGATGAAATATGAGGGGGATGATATGAGGGGGAAAGCGCAGTAATTCTGTAGACATTTTAAGAGAATGAACCCTCCAAAGGAAATTATTTATTACCTTTAATTCTGCTTCAAAATTCTCTGAACATTCTTTGACATCATAAAAACTCAACCAGCGATGAGCAAGGGGAACAACTAACAACTCCAGCATTTTACATAATACAGTTTGAATCACAGTTTAGGGTAAGGCTTTATTCCTTAAGACAATTGGCCCACAAGCATTAGTAACATAATAAAGCTTTGATTACTACTACTGGCTGCTTCTGCGGAACTACAGCTTCTATAATTTGCTTTGAGTGTTTGGGTTCAGAGAATCCTGCATCACCAGAGGAGTTTGAACTCTGACTTTTACATACCTTCAGTCTGAAAAGAACATGGCTTATTTTGCCTAGTGGTGGGTGTCAACCACTTGACTATATTGTTAATTCTTCACTAGGTGAATAAGAAAGCTATTGAATAGTGAGATCGCTGTATGGTTTATATAACACTGCAGGGTGTACAAATGTTTCCTTAAGTGGCAGATAATTTGCTTTAATGCATTCTCAAGTGTGTTTCATACTCACATAACCTTGTAAATATTTATTATAGGAGGAGTAACAAATACAGCACAGTATCAGAACAGGCTAATGGTGTATGATCCTACACAAGTAAGTTTTCACCCTGCAGGTATTTGTATATATATATACATATATATTAAAGACACTAGTAAACTGTTCTTCAGTTAAATCTCATCATGTCAGTTTATGCACGACAGTGTTCCATGTTAATGAATTAGGGTACAATTGTTATTAATACAAGGGTGCTGCAGTATGCATGTAAGGTTCTCCCCCCTCCTGCATTTCTGTGCAATTTATCAGGCAGACTGAGGAAGCTCTGGATCTGAAGTAACTTCCATAGTACAGAGAAGCATTTACACCCCACTTTTCTCCACCAGTGGAGAACCAAAGGGGCTTACATCGTTCTCCTCTTCCTCCCCAACAGCAACCCTGTGAAGTAGCTGAGGGAGGGGGAGAGAGAGAGAGAGAGAGAGAGACTGGTTATTCAGGGCAAAGTGGGGATTCAGACCTGTGCCTCCAAGATCCTAATCCAGTAGTCTATATAGAAGGTTAGCACATACCGGCTGTACTACCTGCACACGTAAAGACCAGTCACGAGAATGGGACTCATACTTTCCCTAAAACACCTGGTCTCCCACAAAAACCACCGCGTTTCTTTTTCTCCATGTGGATTGATGGTGATTCGTGATGACACTGTTTCAGTAATCCCAACATCTCAGTTGAAAGTTAATAGAAAAGATAATATATTCAGGTGTTGCCTGTAACATGACAAATGGCTTGGTACAGAGCGATCCAAATGTTGTTTTCATAATTTTTTGTAGGAGTTAAATATAGGGGTGTGCACAAAAAATAAATCAAATTTTTTTTGGATTTGGATATATTGGACCAAAAAAAACTTGGAATTCCCAACAAATCTCAATTCCAGTACCAGTATTTGGATTTTTTCCCCTCCAGAAATCTCGATTTTTTTTCATCTTCATTATACCCTATGGAACCATTATAGTCAATGGGGGAATATTTCTGGGGGTATCCAGTGGTCTGGGGAGCTGTTTTTTGAGGTAGAGGCACCAAAATTTCAGTGTAGCTTCTGGGGCCTCTGCTCAAGATCCCGCAAGTTTCAAAAAGATTGGACTAGGGGGTCCAATTCTATGGGCCTCCAAAGAAGATGCCCCCATCCTCCATTGTTTCTGAAGCAAAAAAACAAGGACTGATGTCAAATCATGGAGTCTCTGCAGTAGAAACTGAAGGGGGGATTTTTCCAAGCTCAGCAGAACTAGTGCCACTGTAGCAATGGCAGTTCAACAGATCCAAGCAGTGTGTGTGTGTGTGCAAGCACAGTGCAGATAGTGCATGTACAGAGTACCCAACAGAATCAGTGCATGTACAGAGTGCCCAAAGATGGTGCCACCATCCTCCATTGTTTTCGGTGGAGAAAAAAAGAAAGCATTTAAGGGAAGGCACTGGGTTTTGCTGGGCACTAATACATTGCACTGGTATTGCTTGACACTCTGTACATGCACTGGCTATGCTAGGCTTGGGGAAAAAACCTTGCTTGGATTTGTTGGGCTGGCATTGCCACAGTGGCATTGGTTCTGCTAGGCACTCTGTACATGCACTGATTCTGCTGGGCACTTTGTACATACACTGGCTGTGCTAGGCTTGCAAAATCCCCTTCCCTGCTTGGATTTGTTGGGCTGGCATTGCCACAGTGGCATCGATTCTGCTGGGCACTCTGTACATGCACTTAGTATGCTAGGCTTGCAAATTCCCTCCCCCTCCGCTTGGATTTGTTGAGCTGGCATTGCCACAGTGCAATTGGTTCTGAAAAAATGCACCCCACCGCTTCAGTTTCTACTGCAGAAATTCTCTGGTTTGACATCAGCCCCTACTTTTTTGCTGTTTTTCCCCTCCATTGGAAATAATGGAGGATGGGGGCACCTTCTTTGATGGCCCATAGAATTGTATCCCCTGGTCCAATCTTTTTTAAGCTTGGGGAGGTGCTTTGAGTAGAAGCACCAGGAGCTATGCTGAAAATTTGGTGCCTCTTACTCAAAACACAGACCCCCAGACTCCCACATACACCTGGATAGATTTGCCATTATAGCCTATGAGGGTCATTGCTATAATGGTCCCCATAGGCTATGATGGGTGACTATAATGGTCCCCATAAGCTATGATGGAACTGAAGGCATTGAAAGGTGTCACGGTCCCTTTAAATGTGCTCGTGAAGCTGCAGCTTCACCTGGAATTTTTTCAGGATTATCCGGGATTTGCTTGCTCGATAGTAGAAAATGCACCTATCTATATATCTGGCTGAAAGAATAGTTGATAAATACTGATAAAGTATTTTCTGACTATTTTTCTGGCTCAGACACAGCCAAATGCACACCCCTAGTTAAATACTTTGCTCTCTTATTTGGGGTTCAGCACCTGTATCCTTCAAATTCAGATCACTTCTGTTTTTTGTAACCAGTATTAGGCCAATTAGGAGCTGCGGTGGCTCAAGTGGTTAAGACGCTGAACTGCAGGCTGTGGAAGGTCAGTAGTTCAGCAGTTCGAGACCCGAGTTGCCGTATGACGGAGTGAGCTCCCGTCTCTAGTTCCAGCTCCTGCCAACATAGCAGTTCGAAAGCAAGAAATTGCAAGTAGATAAATAGGTACCACTTCAGTGGGAAGATAACAGCGTTCCATGCGCCTTGGTGTTTAGTCACATGACCATGGAAATGTCTTCGGACAGCACTGGCTCTTCAGCTTTGAAACAGAGATGAGCACCGCAACCCTAGAGTCGGACTCGACTGGCTTTCGAGAAGGGAACTTTTACCTTTATTAGGCCAAAGCACAATTCGCAAATGGTTAAAAGTAGTGTTTGTGTGTGTGTGTTAGCGTTCTTCAAATGAGGTTTGTTTCGTGTTTGTACACACATGCTTTTTAAAAATTCTGCTGGCATTGTATACGGTGGGCACTGGAAGAACTTCACATCTGCTTGCATCTTGCACAGAATCTCAATAACTCTATCATTTGGTGCTAGTGCCTGTTTCTGTGCTAGGCCTTTGTGGAGTGCTGATAATGCCTACCATCTGCCACAGAGCACATAGCTACCTGCCAACAGGCAGGCTAGGGTGACCTCTGCTTCTCCACTGCTGATTAGTATTCACACGCTGGCTTATTAGGAATGACCCCACCAGGCCCCTCTGTTTCTTTGCCTTTGCAGTGCTTGGCGGCTTACCTGGCAGTCACTGCTGTGGAGGAAGCTAAGATATAATCAGGGGATGCAGGCAGGCTTTGCAAAGCAGATGGTGTCTATAGTTCTCTGTCAAGGGACTGGACTGCTAATTCAAATATTAATTCCTTCTAGTCAAATACTACACAGTATAATAGATAGCTGTACATTATGGGGGCTGCATGGAGCAACTGTTTTTTACTTCTACCGTTTCATGCTTACCACTCCCCATTCTTCAAACAGCACACCAAGAGTGTCTTTCCTCTGTAAATTTAGCTATTAAATTATATAAGGAGCAACAATTACGATTTAATTTTTTGATGCTTTATTGTTGTGGATAATGTTTCTTGTAAGCCACTTTGAGCTTCAGTTGAAGGGAAAGCGTGGGTTGGATCCCACCCCAGAACTACAAATATTTTCAACCAGGGGAATGGGACTGCCTCACCTCCCCCTTATGCTCCGGTCCAAAATGGCCCCTACGTGCTGATCCTGGAGGAGCAGCATGAAGGAGGAGTCAGAGGTTTGCTATGGGGGAGGGATTTATGAAAACTACAGGAAGCAAAAATTTCCTTAGGATCCAATCCCATCTGTGGTGTATGCATAATAAGAGATAAATTCTCTCTCCTCCTTCCCCCCCCCCCTGTGCATGCAGAATAAATGGCTAAGCCGCAGCCCCATGTTGCAGAGGAGAGTGTACCATTCCATGGCTGCTGTTCAAAGGAAGCTGTATGTTTTAGGTGGCAACGACCTGGACTATAACAATGATCGCATTCTTGTACGGCACATAGATTCCTACAATGTAGACAGTGACCAGTGGACTCGCTGCAGCTTCAGTATGTTAACAGGCAAGTAATGATAATCTTAGCTATCAGTTCAGTTTGTACACTTAAAGGAGGGATTATAGAGCACACATTCCCTTCTTAACAGGCACCAACGCTGAAACCTAACCCTTTACAACCAATTCTATGTACAGCATCTTCCAATAAGCAAGTTCTTACCAGTGGTAAGAAAGGTTAATCTAAACACAGACTTGGCTTCTTTTTCTCTCTTAGGCCAAAATGAATCTGGAGTTGCTGTTCACAATGGCAGAATATATTTAGTTGGTGGCTACTCCATTTGGACAAATGAGCCTTTGGCATGTATTCAGGTGAGTGATTTCAGCAATTTTTTGAAATCTCTCTGAATGATTTACCTTTTTACAGGGCAGCTGTTCAAACTGAGACAAAGGTTTTAGATGGGGAAGAGAGATTCTTTTTAAAATTTATGTTATCTATAGTCCCCCTTTCTCACAGGGACTCAAGGTGGATTACACATAGTGATTCAGTATAATTTTTTTTAAAGGGACAATACATTAGGATTGTAGACGTCTGGAAACCACCAGAAAGAACTGAAGCACAACACAAGTATTCACATGACACATTTGGTAGTACAATAATTACATAATCGGATACATAATAGGATCCTACTTACCATAAGATATACACAGCAGTATAACTCACAGTCCCTTCTCATTTATCCAAGTCAGTTCATAAACAGTTTTGCACAGTACCTGAGCAGAAAGCCCTCTTGAATAATTCAGTTTTGCATCGTTTGCGGAAAGTCAGGAGAGTGGGAGCTCCATAAGGTGGGGGCCACCACAGAGAAAGCACGTGTACAGGCCTTTGTTGATTTTGCCCATTTGCAGGTTGGCACCCACAGAAGCCACTGTTGATGTGAGCGAAGGTACTGTGGCTGAGCAGAGAGGGAGAGGTGGTTCTACAGAGAAGAGGGACCAGTCCCATGAAGGGCTTCATATGTGATAGCCAGTACGGCAGTGTTCCCTCTAACCTGAGTTAGTGTGAGCTAGCTCAGAGTTTTTTAGCCTCCGGCTCACACATTTTTGTCTTAGCTCAGGAAGGATGGCTCCAGAGCAAACTAATTTATGCAGCAGCCAAGTCGCTCACTCACAACTTTAATGCCAGTAGCTCACAAAGTAGAATTTTTGCTCACTAGACTCCACAGCTTAGAGGGAACATTGCAGTATGGTAAATTGGGCCCATAAGTGGGCAGCCATTGGAGTGTCTGCAGAATGGGAATAAGTCTAGCTCCCAATAATAGCCAAACTGCAGCATTATGGACCAGCTGGAGTTTCCAAATTGATTTAAAGGGGAGACCAATGCACAGTGCAATTACAGTAGTCTAGTCTCAGTGTGGCGTGGATCCAGGTGGCCAGATCAGGTGTATCAAGAGAAGGGGGCATCATATGGGCTAGGCTGAGTTGGTAGAAGACATTTTTTGCAGCTGCATTAAATTACTCCTCCAGTAATAAAGCTGGATCCAGTATAACCCTGATTTTAACTGTCAGCAAGAGTCAGTTGAATTCCATCGAAAGTGGGGAGAACAACATCCTTCAAGACCTCCACCTCCCAGCCAGCATTACCTCTGTCTTCTCATAGTTTAGTTTCAATTTATTCACTCTTTGCAAGTGAACCACCATGGCCAGGCAGCGATTCAGGACCTCTACCACATCACCAAGATATCTGGATAAGGATATATAGAGTTGAGTATCATCAGTGCGGTGGCTCAAGTGGTTAAGACGCTGAACTGCAGGCTGTGGAAGGTCAGTAGTTCAGCAGTTCGAGACCCGAGTATGCCGCATGACAGAGTGAGCTCCCTTCTCTAGTTCCAGCTCCTGCCAACCTAGCAGTTCGAAAGCAAGAAATTGCAAGTAGATAAATAGGTACCACTTCAGTGGGAAGGTAACAGTGTTCCGTGCGCCTTGGTGTTTAGCCATGCCGGCCACATGACCACGGAAACTTCTTCGGACAGCGCTGGCTCTTCGGCTTTGAAACGGAGATGAGCACTGCAACCCTAGAGTTGGATTCGACTGGCTTTTGAGCAAGGGAACTTTTACCTTTATCATCAATGTATTGATGACAACCAACCCCCAAAATACAAATGATTTGTCCTAAGGGCTTTATACAGAAATTGAAAAGCATGGGGGATAGAATTGCATCATGTGGAACCCCACAACCTAGGTCCCGTACCAACTAGTTTTCAGTAGCAACCCTTTGAGCCTGATCCATGAGGAATTATTTGAACCAGTTCAGTGGGCATCCCCTAATATCTACTTGTGCCTCCAGACACCTCAATAGGATGGCACGATCTACTGTGTCAAAGGCTGCAGATGAATCTAATAAGAGGAATAAAGAGGTTTGGCCTTTGTCTACACTCAGATGGAGGTCATCAACTAAGAAGAAGAAGAGAAGAGATTGGATTTATACCCCGCCCTTCACTACCCAAAGGTGTCTCAGAGCGCCTTACAAACTCCTTTCCCTTCCCCTCCTCACAACAGACACCCTGTGAGGTGGGTGGGGCTGAGAGAACTCTGACACAAACTGCTCTTTCAGGAACAGCTGTGCCAGAGCTTGTGACTGACCCAAGGTCACATCAGCAGGTGCAAGTGGAGGAGTGGGGAATCAAACCCGGTTCTCCCAGATTATAGTCCGCACACTTAACCACTACACCAAACTGGCTAGAAGAGCCATCTCTGTCCAATAACCTGACCTGAAGCCAGACTGGAAAGCATCTAGAGCTGATTAAGTATTCAAGAAGACTTATAGTTGGTCCACTCCAATCTCTCACTTTGCCCAGAAAGGGTACATTAGAGACCAGGTGATAATTTGCCATATAATTTTCTCTGTAGGGACCGTTTTTTGAGTAGCAGATAGAGAATCACCTCTTTGAATGACTGGGGGAAGGTGATGTTAGTGACTGATTTATAATAGATGCCAAGGATTTGTTGATGTGGTTCTCACATGATTTTAGCAGCCAGGATGGGCATGGATCCAGAGTACAAGTAGTGGACCCCACTGATCCCAAGATCTTGTCCACATCCATCACAGAAACTGGGTCAAAGTGATCCATAAATAGACCAGGCAGTGTATTAGGCTTTTCTTCTGATGTACCTATGTTACAACTGACATCCAGATCAGAGTGTATTCTTGACATTTTATTAGCAAAGAACCTGACAAAAGTATCATAGCTAATTGTATGTTCTTGGGATTCAGGCATCAGCAGTTGCTGAGCTGTCTTGAATAATCGGAATGGACGTGAACTAGCTGATGCTATAATGGAAGTAACTTTTCATTGCCTTTGTCAGCACTGCTTCATAGGTCAGATTCAGTATGATTTTTCCACCAGCACTGTTCTAGGTGTCTCCCAACCCTTTTATCACCCAGCTCTGTGGTAAACCAGGGGGCTGGGTTTAATCCCGAGGGTGGGAGAGGTTGACAAAGGGCAACTTTGTTGATAGCTTAAAGGAGCTTCACATTCCATGGTTCTACTGCGACCTAAACAGAATGCATGTTCGGAATCCTAAAATCCCCCAGAGTATTCTGGAATCCAGTAGAATGAACCTTCATGGTTGGACCATTTCAACTGGGCCCCCTGTCATGCGTGGTGTCAGAGCCACATTCACTTTGGCTTTTAGTAGGTAGTGGCAGTGTCTAGGCATGGCCACAAACCAGAAAAATGTGGTTCATGGTCAAAGAGTGCCCAGCAGAATCCAGTGCCATTGTGGCAATGCCAGCTCAACAGGACTGATGACTAGCACAGAATCACACTCCAAGAAAGGGGGGGTGCAAGACCACCAGAACTAATGCAATGTACTAGTGTCCAGCAGAACCCAGTGCTATTGTGGCAATGCCAGCTCAATAGGACTGATATGTACAAAATAACCATCCAAGTAAGGGGGGTGGTTTTGCAAGCCCAGCACAACCAGTTCAGTGTACAGAATGCCCGGCAGAACCCTGTGCCACTGGCATTGCAAAATTAAAAGGACTGATCTCAAAACACACAGTCACAAGAAACTCAAGCGGGGGGGGGATTTTGCAAGCTCTGTACAAGAAAATGGAAAGTGAACACAAAGGAGGGGGGGCTCTTGAAAATGACATGACTAGTTTGAAACTGACAGGAGTATTTCCAAGGTTGGAGAATTTTCCCCCCCTGTTCCTTTGAGGTTTGGTAAACATTTTGTTTGAGTGGAAACAGTCTGTCTGGAAATATATCCATTCAGGAACTGGCACAAACCTCCACAAACTGCTTGACAGTTCATGATGGTTGACCTGCCATGAACTTCAGTTCACAAACCATGAACCGGCCCAAATTTATCACAAACTGTAGTTTGTGAGCTGGTTTGTGTTCATCCCTAGTCATACCATACCATAGTTCTGGACAGATCTCCAGCCCTAAAATGATAGGGACTCTGGGGCAAGTGATGCTCTGTCATCTTGGTGCTTGGGGGGGTCAACAGTGGGATGGCTTCTAATGTCCTGGCCCCACTGGTGGACGTCCTGATGGCACTGGTATTTCTGGCCACTGTGTGATACAGAGTGTTGGACTGGATGGGCCTTTGGCCTGATCCAACATTGGCATCTCTTATGTTCTTATGTTAATGAAACCTTCCCTCCAAGGTTCAGTGGAAAAGAGTAAGTCCAGGGTGTGACCTCTTTCATTTGTTGTGTCAGTCATGATTTGGGAGAGACCCAAGGCAATGAAAGAAGCCATAAAATCCTGGGCTGGTCCTGGCGAGATATTGTTGGCATGAATGTTGAAGTCTCCCAGAACAATCAGTCTAAGACAGAGGTGTCAATCATATGGCCCACAGGGGCCAAGACCAGCCCATCCAGTGCTTTTATCCAGCCCGCACTTGCAACTGTGTGAGGGAGGGAAGAGGAGGTGTGAAGGAGGGAACAGGAAGTTGCTTGGGGGAGCGAGCAGGCGGAGCCACTCTGATTGTGGCTTCAGCTTGGTGGAACAACCTCCTTTGTAGCAGTTCACTCTCAACAGCAACCTTACTGGTAAGTTGGGGGCCACTTGAACTGCAATCACTCTAGCCTCAACCTCCCTTCCCTCCTTTCCTTACCACATCACATGGCGATGCAGCTCTTTTCTCTACCCATGCTGGACAACCCTTGCCTTTCTTGCCGCCAGTGTCCAGCACCATCCCTCCTCGCAGCCTTGACCAGTTACCTCATCTTCAACTGCCCCAGCAAGATGCTGGCTGTGAGGCCAGGCCTTTGCTAGTGCCCCAGCCAAACACTGCAACAAGTAGCTGGAGTGAACAAAAATCACAGCTGTTGAGCTCACTCGCCTACCCGCTGGGTA